ACTTAACCTACCCAACTAACAAAACTCTATTGCATTTGGAAAACTGCATTTGTTTTCTCTCTATTAAAAAGAGGAGATCCTACAATACCATATAATTACAAACCCATTTCAAAGCTGTGTGTTTTAGCAAAACTTCTTGAATGTTAATAAACGAACAGATTAAACATTATTGGTATCCTGAAAACATTTTATCACCTCATCAATCCGGTTTTAGAAAACAACATGAAATAGTTACTGCCTACCTGAAGGTCCTAAATGATGAAATTGAAGCTGTTGATGCCAAGGACTACTGTGCTGCCCATTTAATGGATCTGTCCAAAGCCTTTGACACAGTTGATATTTTTGTCTCAAAGGCTTTTGGACATAGGTTTCACTAACTAGGCTGTGGGTTCCTAAATTATCTAACTGGTCTTAAAAAGTGTGTACAGTTTTGTATTCAGACACCAAACTATTGGGACATCACTTGGGGGGTCCTGCAAGGGTCAATTTTAGGACCTACTCTTTTTACTATTTACTTTAACAATGTAACCCATGGTATTACTAATGCGGCTGTAAATAATTATGCTGATGATTCCATAAGCTATTGTCATGCAAAAGAAGTGAAGCTTTTCTTCGAGCACCTGTCTGTGTCACAGTTGGGTGGAGGTTTTGAGGACCCAAATGCAGAGATCAGGAGCCAGAGATGAATCTTGTAGATTTAATTACAGAACTGAGGCAAAACACAAAAATACAAATAACAACCAAAAGACCAGAAAACGTCAGGGGAAAACTCACGTTTGAAGCCAGAGATTAGGAAGCAACTAAACAACAACAAGGAACCAGCCCTGAGTGACAGCAGAGGTGGTGTATATAAGGGGAACAGAAGGGAGAACGGGTTAATGAGCTGTATAAGGAACAAGTGTGAATTAGAAGGAAACCAAGGGGAAAGGAAAAAAGCACAAGACGGCAACAGAGAGTAACTTAAGACTACTTGAATATAATGGAAAATAAACCCTAAGATCAACAAAACAGAATAACTGAAAACTAAAAACTCAGGCTCAAAAGGAGATAACCATAACAGTATGCTTTTAAGACAATTCAGTCACAGTTTTCACAACTTCAATTACTGCTAAATGCAAGCAAGATTAAAATAATTGTATTTTCCAGCAAATAGAAGAGGCGTTCACCTCTCCCTACTGTCACCACAGTTTTGGAATTGCAGATTGACTTAGTATCTTATACATATGTTGGCATCACTTCAAACTTTTAACCTTTCAGCCTCACATTGGAAACCTGCTCAAAAAGCTTAATCTAAAACTTCTTCTTTTTTTCAAGATAAATCTTATTTGCCAGAACAGCCTGTTTCTGCCATGTTCCTGAGCCTGTTAGGTTATGACGATGCTGTTTACATAAAAGCCTCTAACAGCTCATGACATGTTTTGAAAGCTGTGTATCATGGAGCTCTCAGTCTCACTCACCCTCTACTCACTAGTTAACTGGCCCTCTCTACACGCAGACTGCTACACATTTATTAACAGATCCAGTCTTCATCTGGTACCACCCTATTTGTCATGTTCATATCTATTAAATTTCAATTACCATGTTTTCACGACCATAAGGCGCACCGTACTAAAAGGCGCAGTCTCAGTTATGTGTCCCATTTCTGTATTTAACACACACATAAGGCGCACCGGACTATAGGGCGCAGGTTTTATATACAGGTGCATGTCCTCTACTACGTTTAAATGCCTCTACTGCGTATTTAAAAATAGAGCGGGAGCAAAACTGAGTATGTTTGTGTTTTATTCATGTATTTATTAAAAAGTATTAATCAAACCCATCCAAGTCATCATCCTCTGTTTCTGAATTAAACAGCTGCTCTAAATCAGACATGCCAGTTTCCCCTTCTTCGCTGTCAGAGTCACTTTCCGTACCGGGCGGCTCCTCGGAAATGATGCCGGCTTTTGCGAAAGCTCGAACAACAGTGCCAGTAGACACATTAGCCCAAGCATCAACAATCCATCCGCAAACGGTGGCGTAACTTGCCGGCGCTGCCTTCCACTTTTCGTGAAACTGTGGTCTCTGTCGGTCATCCATCGCTCCCACGCCGCTCGCAGCCTTACTTTGAACGGCCGCTTCATACCGATGTCGAGCAGTTGAAGTTCCTTTGTCAGACCCCCGGGATAACAGCGAGCACAGCGTTCATTTGATTCACCTTTTTTTCACATCGGCTGTGAGATGGGCATGCATGGAGTCACAGATTAACAGCGATGGTGATGTGTGGAAAAAACCACCTGGTTTCCTTACATAGACCTCCCTTAGCGGCGCTTTTATCATCTCCTCATCCATCCAGCCATTTTCATTTGCCTTAATAAAGACTCCAGCTGGAAAAGTCTCTTTAGGCAAAGTCTTTCTTTTAAAAATCACCATGGGCAGCAGTTTCTGTCCATTTGCGTGGCAGCCAAGCACACGGTTTTATATACAGGTGCATGTTCTCGCCAAGCAAACAGATAGGGCGCACCGCACATGTTGAGGAAAAAAAAAAAGACGTTTATATGCGCCTTATAGTCGTGAAAATACGGTAAATGTATTTATATAGTGCCAATTCACAACACATGTCATATCAAGGCACTTTATAGTTCACCAGATCATAGAGTCAAATTGATTCAAAGTTTTCTAGTAGTTTAGCCAGTCACAGTCAGAGAAACAGGACTACACTGAAAAACAGGCTGATCTCAAACATCTATAAACAAAGGTATTGATGGCAACAGCACAGCTGTTATGTCTCTCCAGCATGGGGTCACAGCCAAACAGGACACATCTCACATAAACAGCAGTGCCAGAGCCTCCCTTCACAGAATTTGATCCTTTCCAGCGTTCCTTTGGTACTTTGTGTCCTGAACTTTGCAAAAAAAGCATTTTCCACTCTGGTCTATCCACCTAGAACCTGCTTCAGTACGACCTGAAGTTATCCAGTCTATTCACACTTGGGGAGTTTTATTGATACTTCTAGAAAATACATGTATTGGCATCTACACATGTTTTAAATTATTTCATGAACAATTCATAACTGATCTTTTTTTACTGTGTATTGTATAATTTGTGTATTATATAATACTGTTAACAGTTATTGTTTTTAAAATATGTTCCTCTTGTAAATGAGATTCTAAATCTTAAGACATTTTCCTTTCTAAATAAAAGATTAAATAAAATACTTTAATATAAGGAAAAATGATTTAGATAATGTACAAAAAAGCTGCTAATTACAGACACAATCAAATTGTTCTTCTGAGGCAGTTTTAAAGCTATTCTAATTTTATTATAAATGCTTGAAGAAAAAGCTTTGCTTTGAAACATCCACACTGACCCGTGATATCACCTCCTGTGTGGCTGTTACCGGTTTTGTTCTTTGACACTGGAATAAAGGTCGCCAACAAAGGAATAAAGATCGTATTTCTCTGGAAGCAGCAGTTAAACTCATTGTTCTTCAAATTCAACCCCTTTATTCATTGGGAACATTCCTCTGCTGATCAGGCGTGAAAAAATACTGCAACAGGCCGCTCTGGGTTTCCTGTTTGCAAAACATTTCTTCAGTTTGCTACTGATTCTTTTTTCAGATTCAAACCTTGAACTACTCCACGTTCTGGGGTTTTGAACTTATTCAGCGTAAACCGCAAAAAGAGAGTTCCCGTGTTCCACAGTGATGAGGCTTTCTGGGCAAAACCAAAACCATCTGGAGCCCTGTTAGTTAGTGGGCTGAATACATGAGGTACAACTGTAGCACAATTGTAGTTAAGATTGTAGAACGGTCTGTAATATAGGCTTTTGTATGAATTGTGGTAATCATAATAGTACATGCTGTAAACCCGGCTATAGTAGAAATTGTAATACAGGTACTAGTACAAGTGGTAGCAAAGGATGGAGAACAGGCAAGAGTTCTGGTTGCAGAATCAGCTGTAGTACGGATTGTAGTACAGGAAGTAGTACTGGACGTATTGTGTCTTATAGCTCATTTGTGCAAGTAGTGGTTTAGGATGGAGTTGAGGCTGGGATAAAGGCTAGAATTGAGCTGTTGTAAAGTAGTACAGTACAGCTGCAGTACAGGTAGTGGTACTAGTCATATATATATAATATATATATATATATATATATATATATATATATATATATATATATATATATATATATATATATATATATATATATATATATATTTATATATATCATACTATTTAATATATTAGTAAAAGGTTATAGTTAGGGTTGTATTACAGGTTGTAGAGCTGCTGCAGAGGTTACTGTCAGTCAGTGGGGATTTAATCCAGTTCTCAGATAAACATGATAATCTCATTAAGGAGTTTTCACACTCCACCAGCTGATAAACTGTAGAGGTTGGTGAAGACATTCTTCATTGTTGTTTTCCTCAAGTTTTTGAAGGCAGATGGATCCCAAGTCTTGTTCTTTTGAATAAGCAACCGATGCAGATCATTTTCCTCAGGCAACCATATGGTCTTATTAACATAAAAATGGTCAAATGTATGCAGATGACAGTTTTTTTTTTTCTGTACACAAAGAGCAGTAATACTGTCACCAGAAATGTCTGGAGTCTGTCACTGGTTTATAAATAACCATTGCATTTTGAACTATACACAGAGTGCATTGATTATCTTTTCAGTTTAGAACAAAAAAAATATTCTAAGGTACTTTAAAAGTTTAACCGACTCTAAAGATGCTGGAAAACTATCCATGTGTCTCAGCATGTTTAAGGTGTAACATGCAACATTTGAGATGTTTCAGTGCAGATTTTCCAATCAGAAGTGTTTACAGTCTGTCAATGTGGAGAGAATTTAGCTTTGAAAAAAAAAGAAGAAAAAACTAAGTTCCTCTCGCCACCTTTTTTTGATTGGTTGGTTTTCAGAAGCTGAAACTGGACTGGAAACCAGAGCCATGGACTGGAGGACAAAGAACTGCTCTGGGTGCTGCTGGGAACCTGCAGACTCATTGTTTCTGTGTTGTTTCAGGTTACAAAACTCTACTCAAAGGGATCTCTGGGAAATTCACCAGTGGGGACCTTGTGGCCATTATGGGGCCCTCAGGAGCTGGGAAGTCCACGCTCATGAATATCCTGGCAGGATACAGGTGAGCCTGTGGCCTTTTAATCCTCACTCTGATCAGGTTCTGTGGAGTTCTGAGTTTTCCTTTGCAAGCATAAACATTTCAGACTGGATCTCTTTATGAATCAGATATTCTTATTTCTTCATTCTCCAACAGGGAGACAGGAATGAAAGGGGAGATCCTGATCAACGGTCAACCCAGAGACCTGCGCTCTTTCCGGAAGGTTTCCTGCTACATCATGCAGGACGATATGTTGCTTCCACACCTCACTGTGCAGGAGGCCATGATGGTAGGCTCAGATCCTCTGATAATCTGTCTTAAGGGAAAATGTCCAAATAATTCAATTCAATTCCGTTTATATAGCGCCAATTCACAACACGTCATCTCACAACACTTTACAGTTAACAGGATCATACAGTCAATTTGAATCAAACTTTTTTTATCTAAGGAAAACCAGTTGATTGCATCAACTCATTGACTTGAATGCAATCCCTCACACTAAGCGTGATTGTAGCGACAGTGGAGAGGAAAAACTCCCTTTTAACAGTAAGAAACCTCCAGCAGAACCAGGCTCAGTTTGAGCGGCCATCTGCTGAGGCCGACTGGGGTTCAAGGAGACAGAAGCAGAGATACAAAAGGCAGCTGTAAAAGGCGGCCCCATCCAGGAAACACACATGCAGGCATAAGAGCTGTGAGCCAGCTCCCATGTCAGAGGATGAAGAGAGCACATCCATCCACAGTCAGAGAAACAGGTCTACACTGAAAAACAGCCTGATCACTAAAACCTAATTTATTGTTGTTTTATTACATTAATCTATGTTCACCTTTATTTGCCAGAGTTATGATCTCCTACGGACTGAACTGACCAGTCAGAGCATCTATTTTTTTTTTTTAGGATTTCTAAATTCATCTTTTATATGAGCAAACATGAAAAGATGATGGGATTATCGTGTTTGATTTACTCTTATGCCAAGGTTTTATTCAATTTGTATACTGATCCGGATCATTAAGGACCCCAAACTGATCTCAAGGAGAATGTATTGGTCAGATATAGATAAAACTTGCAGCGCAGATTTTTTTCTGTCTGAAAGAACTTAAATTAAGCCAAACACAAGAAAAATCTTGACCTGTTGCAGTTTATGGTCTTCAAGCAATTTTCATCAAGTCTTTGTTGGGAACAAAGAGAAAGGTTTTGCTAGCTTAAGGAAAAGTTCTTGTCTGTTAGGCCCCGTCCACACGAAGCCGAACCCTGGCCTAAACGCACAAATTTTTCACCAAACCAGCCTCTCATCCATACGAAGCCGGCGTTTCGGGGGTCTGTAAACGATCTTTTTTTTATTCAGCCTTCAGAGTGGGAAGATTTTGAAACGCCGTTTTCGCGTTTCCATCTTTAAGCTCTAACCGCATTTTTTTTTACACGCATGCGTCATAGCGTCGCTTCTAAACACGCATGTGCGACACAGTATCACAACAACAATGGCGCCGTACTGTGTTGAATGGTTGCTGCTAATGCTACTCACCCTGCTGTCGGGCTTATAACAGAATCTTCTTCTTCTGGAATATCTCCATGAAGAACAGAGCAATATCGACGACATAGTTCAGCACCTGAATTTGACTGAACCACGAAAATGGACCCGCAGGGCAACCATGTATAAATATTAGTGCGCATGCCCAACATTTCGTCGCCACGACAGCGCCACTTACAGGCCTGGCATACATTTTGCAGCGTTTTCATGCATTCGTGTGGACGATCACATTTATTTTACGTCTCCGTCTTTACGACAAACGTTCTGGAAAATATTAGCATTTCGTGTTCGTTTTGACTTCGTGTGGACGGGGCCTTAGGTTCCTCCTCAGGCCCATAACACAAAGCAATGATATTCAGATAAGAGAGGCTTTGATAGGCAGGGAGTTGTTTGGAATTCTCACACATCAGTGCAGCATGGCTGTAAGCAGTGCAAGTGTTGACCCAAACACCCTACATCTTAAACTCCTCATTATACCAATTTTCTGGTTCAATATTAAGTTAACATGGTTGCAGAAGATGGTTAAAGATTGGGTGAAGTTTGTCTGAAAATAAAAATACAAATTTTAGCTGCTTTATTATATTATTTACATAATAGGGGTCTGGGATTCTATTGTGTGCTATTTATTGCGCCATAGTCTGAACCGTAAATAAATATACTAACATCATGAGGTTAAAAGATCAAACAGACATCTCTAGTCCTAGTTGTCATGTTAGTACCATATCTGTTCCTCTTGCAAATTTCAGACATGTATATTAGTTTTAGTTCATGTCCAGATGCTACAAACGTGACATCTGTGTGTCTCTGCAGGTTTCAGCCAACCTGAAGCTACAGGAAAAGGTGGAGGCTCGGAGGGAGATGGTACGCTTGCTTTTGTACAGTTTCTCTACCCCAGTTAAGACATCCAACTCTGCTCAGCAGATCTGATTTTGTTTTCGGCTCCATCAGGTTCAGGAGATCCTGACAGCTCTGGGGCTGCTTGACTGTGCTAAAACAAGAACATCGCACCTGTCAGGGGGTCAGAGAAAGAGGCTGGCCATCGCTCTGGAGCTTGTCAACAATCCTCCAGTTATGTTCTTTGATGAACCTACCAGGTGAGAAAAAGATCTGATGTCAACTATAGGTCTCCTAATCATTTCAATCAGTTTTCCTCTTCTTGTTATTAGGAGCTACAGTGTTTTTCCTGGTTGGTTTAGTTAGGGATATGTATACTGCTGGTTCTGTTGATTATTGTGCAGTTAAATATTTTTTAGTCTTGGAAACTTTAAATCATATTGAGCTGTTTGGTTCATTATTACTTCAGATTCCTGAGAAAGCACTGACACAACATTTGCTCTTGTGTGTTTGTGTTCTAGTGGTTTGGACAGTTCATCTTGTTTCCAAGTCGTCTCTCTTCTCAAAGCCCTGGCTCGAGGAGGACGGACCGTCATCTGCACCATTCATCAACCTAGTGCCAAACTCTTTGAGCTTTTCGACAAGGTAATGGGGGGAGAGCAAAGTTGCTGACATAATACACCAATAGACATAATACACCAATAGTATTAACCTACAGACACTTCTAAGTGCTCTAATATTAACACCCCTAAGATCCAGCACTGTTCTAAGACCCAATACCACCACAAGACCCGTCACCACTTTAAGACCAAAACTATTCTAAAACCAAGCTCATCCAAAGAACAAACACTATTCCAAGGCCCAACACCATCCTAAAGGTTGGAACAGACCTGATTTAACATCTGATCGGACGGAATATCGGATCAGATGAAGTTTTACCATGTACACTTGTGTCCATGGGCCTGGTTCAACTGCCCACAATTCTCTCCAACTGTACCTGGGTAGTTACAACCAAGGCAGAACCCTGGTGTATTTTGGTCGGACCAATGAGAATGCCATTAGTCAGGCATAAACAAAGACATGGTGGCAAAGGAAAAAAGATCTGCTTTGGCGGAAAAACAAAGAGCCTCTGTCTCCAGGAGGATCCTCATTTGGGCTTTCATAAAAATGTTGATTGGTCTAACTAGTCGACTTAGCTAGACTAATTTTACCCACATCTGGAAACTCAAAAATTGCCTGCAGGGCGGTGTGTGTGGCGTGCAAAACAGCTCTCTTATTACATTATTTTATGGGGTTACTAGAGCACACACTACAGTTAGCAATAATGGCCTGATTAGATCTACCTGACCGTCACAGCAACAGGATGAATTGTGAGTAATTTAAGTTCAGGTTAGGATTAACCCTTACTGTCAAATAGTCGACTTGGAAAAATTCCTCTCCGTTAATTCCCTATTCCCCATTTAGGTTAGTGTTAAAAACACTGCATTTATAGCTAACAGGAGAGACTTGGACATATCAAACCGAGAACATATAAAAAAAAAAAAAAAAACAAGATACCCTGGTATACATTTTATGAAAATGAGTGGCAGACATTGCAATTTGTTTTAGTGTAAGTTAGATATTTACCTTAAAATTTATGGTTCAGCAATATTTGGGAGGGGTTAACAAAGATTAACCTAAAGCTGGATGTTTTATAACTGACCTCTTTGGACTAAACCACTAGATGGCTTCACCAACTTTCTTAATCATATTAATTGAAAACATTTAACATTTTAAAAGCCTTTAAATCAAATTACACATAAACTGTTGGAGTGTCATACAAATACATAGGGCTAATTTTACTGAGTGCAAATAGATTTACCTAAAGATGTGTTGGTAACAAGCTAAAGAAGAGGTTATGAGTTAAATGAGACAGAAAGAAAATAAATCTGCTTACCATTTTTGGCCCTAAAGTTAAATTTTGTTTTTTATCTGAAATCAACTTTATTTTCTGCAACAAGGTATTTTCTTTTCTCCCTTTCAGATTAAGCTTCTTTCTGTCCATCATTTTCACCCAGAACATTTTAGGAACACAGTAGCAATAACATTTCCAGGCAAACTGAACTGTTTGGAAAAGAGACCTCAGAAAACTCAAATAGATCCAGAGTTGTAGTGACCTGAGATTCCTGATCTCTGTGTGTGTGTTTCAGCTCTATGTGCTGAGCCAGGGTCAGTGCATCTACAGAGGAAAAGTGTCCAGCCTGGTTCCATACCTGCAGAACCTCGGACTGAACTGTCCCACCTACCACAACCCAGCCGATTTCAGTAAGAACAGAAGCACCAGTCTCATTTCAAGACCCGTTCTCTGACTCAGAACCTGGTCACCCGGGTTATGAGGAATAGTCGTGACAGTGTCCTCTGTGTAGTAGACAGCAGGCAGAAGCTCAGAAGGATTCTGGTGTACCTATAGATGCATGAAAGATTTGCTTATCTTCAAGCCAAGGTCTTATTCATCTTTGACAGGATTTAAAGCAGAAACTTAAAAAAGACAAAACATTTTTTTATTTCAAGTTTGAGGAACTTGGATGGAGGAAAGCTTGCATTAAGTTGGTGCTAGGGTCTCCGATGTAGTTAAACAACTTAGAAAAACTTAGGATAGGTATATCTACGTGGAGCGTTTCAGTATCAAAAACCAGTCTTCTTTAACTTTTCTGTGGTTCTAGCATGGAGGTGGTTCTCTGCATAAGCTTTTTGGGATGGGGCTCATAGTCTGTTGATATATCAGATCAAATGTTATGTCCTTATTCTTAGCCACCTGGAAAAGTTAATTCCATGCTACTAAAGACACATCTGTCTGAGGTGAACCTTATGTTCAGGAGCATTCTGGTCTTTGTCCTGGCGATCTCAAACTAAACCACCTCTTTACCCTCACCATCAGGGCCGGTTCTAGCCCTTTGGTTGCCCTAGGCGAGATTGAGTTTTGCGCCCCCCCCCCCCCCCCCCGCTCACTTTTGCCGTGCTAAATACGAATACTGTTTTCAGCATCTGTTTAGTGCTTCGTTGAGTTCAGTGAGTGGATTTGATATAAGTATTAATAGTTTTAGGAATTGTGCTATAAGAATCAAGGTTGTGTTTAAGCATTCAGAAAAAACTGTAACTTAGCATGGAGTGATGCATAGACAAATACCAGAATAGGTTTCAGTACCTCTTATTTTAAATAATTTATTACACACTCAAAGTTAGGACTGTGCAAAAACACTTTTAACCATCTGTAAGGACACTTAGGTAAAGTATAACTAAAAAACTGGATTGAATCATTGAATGAATTTATTTCAGACAATTAACAAATTTAACACACATTAAACAAATATTAAATAAATCAATTTCAGAAATTACCAAATAACAATAAAAAATAATAAATTTAAGAAATTCTTCAACCAAGGACTACATAAAAAAGTAATTGATAAACATTAAATTAAATTTTCTTTTCCAGTTCAATTAAATCATTTGAACATAAATAGAAATGAGATAAACAAAATTTTCCTCTAAATAAAATATATCAGGTATATTTACCCTGATTTCTGACACTGATTAGTGATTAAAGAAAGGATTAACCCTCTACAAACAAAAGTGCTTTTATGAATACCATTACAAAATTAAAAGTTTGAAGTCGTTTTTTTTTTGTTCACATATTCTATGATGAACAGCCATAACTTCATATATTTTGATGATTATTTGTACATCCCTTTTGAACACTCAATGCAGATAATCACTACAAAATATTTTATTTATATTAGTATCTTCTACCCATTCTCAAGCTAATAATATAGCACATAATTCTGAGAAAAAAATGTCAACATTAGGGATGGGGATCGTTAATATTTATTGATATCGATACCTTTATCGATACTCCTTATCGATCCGAGTCTTTATCGATACCACTATCGATACTTTTTTGTTATTTGGTGGAAAGACGATGCAACAAAATTTTATTAACAGAACTGGTATTGCACTATTGCTTAACAAGTGAGCATAACAAAAACGTTTCTAGCCTTCAATAAACATGGCTAATGTAATAGGCCACTTGGAAATGACATAAAACTAACTAGAATATATTTTCACAATTGTTGGTTAATGTATTGTCTACTGTCACTTTTCATCATGTTTTTAGTGATTAGGAAAATATTTAACAAATAAATAATTGTATTTTAAATTAAATGTAATTTTTAATAAATGTTGGCATCAGTAGTTTCATTATATATAGAGCAATATACAACTGTATTACTCATGTTTTTCGCCAAAAACAAAATTTCCCGTTTTCTTTACGTTACACTTGAACGCATCATGATAACCTAATTGTCATTTTACTGAGCCAATCTGAACACATCATCACGCAACACGTCTGAAACTTTATTTACTTTTCAAGCTAACTAGCTTGTATGCTTCCGATTACAAGACGGATTTCACAATTAATATTTTTAACTGACCGGACAAGCTACAAAGTCTGTGTGCGCTTACCAGTGGTACTCTGAGTGGATGATTAAGACGGGCCGACTGCGGCAGCAGCTGGAGGAGGAGAGGGGAGTCTTTTCCGTTCAGCCATCCTCGAGTCGCGAGCAAAGTTAAGTGTCAGAATTCACTTGTTTTACTTTTAATATCTGTTTGCTTACAATTTCATTCCAAAATATTGGTGGACATGCTGCAGGGATTGACGTCACGACTTCCGGGTTGGAGGGCGCTTGAAAAGAGATCAGAATCTTTTCCGATTTTCTCTTAAATGTGAAAAAATAAATAAAAAAACGGTGGTATATTTATTTGTTCATATTTTGCTATTTATATATACGTAAGCTTAAGTCAAACTGACGGATGCTTCATAACCGGTTTAATTCGCTTTTTTTTCTAATTCTATGATTAATGGGAAGTAAGCCTAAGGGCGACGCTAAGTATAGAGGGCGCCCCCAACACATTTGTCGCCCTAGGCAATTGCCTAGCTCGCCTATAGCAATCGCCGGCCCTGCTCACCATGACATTTCAGCTTATATAGACTTTTTTTAAGGCCATGGGTCTCAGCTGGAGGGAAGGTAGAAGACGACTTTTGGATTGGGAAGGATGTTCTGTCACAAAGTGATGTGGGATGGGGATTAGATTAGATAAAATGTATTGTCACGAAATTAATTTGATTTGGGTACAGACTCTGGCTCCTACATAGTCCAAACTATGTGTCACACTGCATTCACACATAAAAACACTGCTACAGAAATTCCATTATAGGACAATAAATAAATACATAATGAACAATGTTACGTTACATTTACAATAAGAAAAGAAAAAAATATAAAAACCCTTCTTTAAAAAATCTACTACATGAGATAATGAATATAGAAACAAGCATATCCATTTAGTGTAAATTTTGAATACCCTTGCATATTCCACAATTTAATGCTTGATACTGTTTATTGCCTTAATGGAAAGTGGAAGAAATGAGCTCTTATAGCAGTTCAATCTCGACTGGGACTCGACCTGAAGGAAGAAACTGATACTCTGAATAAACAAATATGAGTGGGGTCTGAGATGATTTTCTGGGCTTGTCTAGTTATTGTTTCATTGAAGATGGTTTGAAGTAAGGGGTGCTTAACAAGTTCCATCAAATTCATTGCTCTTTGAGTCAGGCAATTAGGTTTGGCCTCCATTTACAAACCAAGACAGGTTGCCAAACCAGGCAGAAATTCCATACCAAATCATGTTCTCTATAACAGCACGGTAAAAGAGCAGCATGACTCTCTGACTGACACCAAAGGCCCTCAGCCTGCGCAGAAAATGTAGCCACTGCTGGACCCTGTTGCAGACATAATCAACTTGAGCAGTCCGAGATAATTTATTATTGATTTTTAATACAAGATGTTCATAGGAATCTGCTTGGGCAAGTATTTGATTATGGATGACTAATTGATGGAGCTAACTAAATAGACTGGAGCAGCATTTGCTGTGATTGTCATGTTGAAAAGTGTACTGAACTTTGCTGAGGAGCCAAGCATATAGGGTCTCTGCTTCTACTCTTGTTCTTGTCTGTCTGTCTTCTCTATAAGTCATGGAGGTTGCATCCGGGGAGTACGGGGACCAGATGGTGAGACTGGTCAGGGCAGTTCAGGACAGGAGATCTGAGGAGGTCCATCAGAAAGAGCTGAATGGAGACGCCAGCCTCCACCCGCTTCTGTGGCAGGAGGTAGAAAACAAACCACTCTAGGATCTCAACTGGAATATCAGACAGTAAAATAAAAACATACAGTCGGTGTTCTGGATGATTTCTTACAGCTGAATGTTTCTGCTCTGCTCAGGAGAGTTCTTCATCTGAAGGTTGCCACAGCTTCTCAGCCAGCTGCAAGACTCAGTTCTGCATCCTGTTCAGGAGGACTTTCCTCAGCATCCTCAGAGACTCGGTGAGAAAGCTGGTCTCCCTCCTACAGCTGCTGGAGGCTTACCTCCACTATCTCAGATTTGATTCTGACCCATTTGAAAAAGATCTGAGAGTGGATCATTGATGCTTAAAACCTGAGAAAATAAAAATACTGTGATTGGCAACTTCTCAAGAAATTCAATTCAGTTCAAGTCAGTTTATTTATATAGCGCCAATTCACAAAAAAAGTCATCTCAAGGCACTTTACAGTTGATCAGATCATCCAGTCATATTGATACAGTTTTCTATCTAAGGAAAACCAGTTGATTGCATCGACTCATTGACTCAAATGCAATCCCTAACACTAAGCACGCTTCTAGTGACAGTGGAGAGGAAAAACTCCCTTTTAACTGGAAGAAAACCTCCAGCAGAACCACGCTCAGTGTGAGTGACCATCTGCTGAGGCCAGCTGGGGTTCAAGGAGACAGAAGCAAACATTGAAAAAGAAGCTGTAAAAGGCGGCCCCGTCCAGGAAACACACAGCCAGGCAGACGAGCTCTGAGCCGACTCCTATGTCAGAGGATGAAGAGAGCACATCCAGCCAGTCACAGTCAGAGAAACTGGACTACAGTGAAAAACAGGCCAATCTCCAACATCTATAAACAAAGGTGTTGATGGCAGCAGCACAGCTGATATTTCTCTCCAGGATGAAGTCACAGTCAAAGAGGAACAGACAAGATAAAGCTACCAGGAGAAAAAGCAGAGAGAGTATAACGTTAGAGATTGAACTAAAAGATTCTACAGAGTGGGAGAATAGCGATAGAATGAGGCAGAATGATGAAAAAGGCCCCCCTATGTCCTCCAGATGTCTAAGCCTGTAGCAGCATATTTATAGAGATAGTTCAGGACAACCTGAGCACCTCTAAATATAAGCTTTATCAAAAAGGAAAGTTTTAAGCCAACCCAAAAAATAGACAAGGTGTCTGCTTCACAGACTACAACTGGTAGTTGGTTTCACAGGAGAGGAGCCTGATAACTAAAAGATCTGCCTCCCATTCTACTTTAAGAAGTTCTAGGAACCACTAGTAAACCTGCAGATTGAGAGGAACATAAGTAACAATCATATTTCTGATATAAGATGGAGCTTGGCCATTTAAGGCTTTGTATGTGAGAAGGAGGATTTTAAATTCTATTCTTTGATTCAACATGAAGCCAATGAAGAGAAGCTAGGATAGGAGAGATATGATCTCTTTTTTTAATCAGAACTCTGGCTGCAGCATTTTGGATCAGCTGAAGGATTTTACTCCAGCCTTGAAGTAACAAATGGATGGACTAGTTTCTCAGCATCACCCCTCTATCCAACCTCTATTGTTTTCTTCCTATTTGCGGCTTGTAAAATTCTGGCTTCATATGGAACAGTCATTTCCGTCATTAACAACTGTAAACTAGAGTTTGTTCAAGCAATGCTTTCCTCAACTTTGAACTAATCTGACAATGTGGTCTGGTTGAATTGACTCTGTAAAGAGCCTTGAGATGACATGTGTTGTAAATTGGCACCACATAAATAAACTGAATTTAATTCAAATTGAATTAGAACAGTGAAGCTAACGGTAGCTTAGCTCATACAATGCTCCAAATTTAACATTAATCATTGTAGATCATATTTCTACTGCTGTCAGAACACATTTATGACATTAAACTTAGTTATTTAGTAATGACTTTAGTTTAACAATTTTAAACTCTTAAAGAGAACAACAATTAGGCCAAATCTTCTTTGCTAACGTACTAGCTGCAGCCAGGAAGAAATCAGTACTGTCTCAGAACGCAGGATTTCATGAAAGGTAGCCAATCACAGGCAGTTTACTTTTTTTGGTGGGTTTCCCCCTAAAAACAATGATAAAAGTTGACATAAGCCACAGAAAAAGATCCACAAATGAGTAGAAGAGAATCTACTGGCACATAAAAAGCGTTTCAGAAGCAAATAGAAGGAGCATGAACTCGTGGATGTGATAAATTAAGGACCTCATGATATTAAATATGCATACATTAAATATTTAGAACGTGCCTACAGAGCAGTGTTTACAATTTAAATAAAACTGCTCAAATTAGTTTTTATTACATGTGAACTTTTGGAAGAATTCTCTCTTCTTACTTTCATATCATAATGTTTTAATTCCAGAGAAGAGATTTTGGCTAATCTTGTGGAAATAAAATCCTAAATTTGATACCAATATATGTTGTTTTATGTTTCACACATAAAATGGATCTTAATAGACTCCCAAATAAATTAAAAATGTTTTCCACATTATGTAACAGGTATCCCTGACACCTTAAATGAAAACAAGCAAATATTGTAGATTTGAATGAAAGAGCTGCATTATTTTGCAGTTTGTACATCCTGGTTGTTTGTTGATTTCATTAAAATAATTTATTCTTTTTAATCAGTTATCATAGAATAATTGTTAATTTCTCTAGTATCTGTATAACACTGTGACTGGCTGAGCAGGTGCTGACCCACCTCAGGATCTCCTCTCACATCGGGATCGGAGTTCTGATCGGGCTCCTGTACCTGGGCATCGGAAACGAGGCCAAGAAGGTTCTGAGTAACTCAGGCTTCCTCTTCTTCTCCATGCTGTTCCTCATGTTTGCTGCTCTCATGCCTACTGTACTCACATGTGAGTCAGCATGTCTCTCTCAGTATGGTACACAGAGGTAGAACCAGAGGAACATTCCTGGTTCCTCCTCCTGGTCCCTTTTTTCCTTCCTAATATTATCCTCCCATGTTTCTGTGCTCAGTTCCTCTGGAGTTGGGGGTTTTCCTGAGGGAACACCTGAACTACTGGTACAGTCTGAAGGCTTACTACTTGGCCAAGACCATGGCTGACCTTCCCTTCCAGGTAACTTCCTCACACACACGTTCCTCCAGTATTATTAAACACCTATCGAACACCTGGACCTTGATTTTGAGCTTTGAGGGACAGCCATGATGTGTTTATAGGTTGGATCTAAGAGTAACCTGCCAAGAATAAGATATCTGTCAATAAAAACCTAGAGTAGGTTCTTTAGGGGGGTTACCTATAACTTCACTATATTTCTAGAAAGCTAGTCGTTATTCATTCCTTTTGCTCAGCTTATCTTTCTTATCATCATATCAATTTAACTTTATTGATCTCACATTGGAGAAATTTACCTTTGTATTTTGCCCCTCCACTTGGGGAGCAGTGGGCTGCCATTGTGGGGCTAAAAATCTTGTTCATAGACCCTGAGTGGCAGTTTGTGGAAGTGGGGCTTGAACCCAGACCCACAGGATTCCAAGCTCTATACCCTAACCAATAGCAGGCCACTTCTCTCTTTTTGTTTATCTTTCTTGAAATGAAATTCGCCACATTAGGTTTTCACAAAGTTCAAAGTTCATCCTAATGAATGAGTATCCTGGTTGTTAAGGTCGTTAATTAGCACCATATTCAGAACTTATACATGGCCTTGAGGACTGAATTTAGACACCACTGTCGTAGAGATTTAATGACATTCCACAAATAAGAACAACTTAGGGCAGATATATTATTGGTAGTTTACAAATTTTATAAATGCTGAGAGTTGTAGTTTATTTGTGGTAATAGACTCAAGCCTCCTGATTTCTTTTTTGTTGTTTTTCAAAAAAAAAAAAAAAAGATGATAAAAAATACCTTTTTTTGTGGCATTTAATGCTGAATTTTTTTTTCTCCAGCTTTTTAATTGTAATTACACTGTCGCAAGTACAGAGCAACGGCATGTACTCTGCAGTTAACCCATCCCCTTGGGGAGCAGTGGGCTTCCATTAAGCGGCACCTGGGGAGCAATCAGGGGTTAATGGTTTTCCTCGGGACCCAGAATCCCAGTCCGTGTGAGTGGGGCTTGAACTCAGAACCTTTGGAATCAAAGCACAATGCCCTAACCACTGTGTAGCCTATTGGTGGTGTACAGTAGAATTTGAAGCAGGGTGAAAATTACAAGGTTCTGTAAAATTACTTCGAAGAATAAACATCAAACAACGGATATTAGAATTAATATCAGTACGTTTAATTTGTGCCATTGAATACTTGAGTATTTTCAAAAGTGAGCACTTCAGTGCCTTAATTTGAGTCAATTTTTGACCAAGCAACTTTTGCTGGTAGTTGAGTAAGATCGACCATGAGTATTGTGTCCAAGACTCGATATTTGTCAACTATTTGTATTTTGCTGCACTAGTGGCTCGTCATTGCAAAGTAGGCTGACAGGAAAGGGGGTACAAGTGAGGGGGAGAGACATGCAGTAAAGGACGACAAGTCGGATTGGAACCACGGTCAGGGATGTTGAGGATACATGGGTTGTGTGAACTAAAGCACGCCCTACGTGACAACATTTTTGATGATCTGAGACTCATATAGCTTGCAGCACACAGAACTGGTCCACCATTTCTTTATTGTTTTTAGTGTTTAAACTATGGTGATACCTTCTTTTTCTGGAAGGCCCACAGCACTACTGCAGCCCATAATATCTGTTTGTATCTGCCTTGGTACTTTATTTGAGAACTGACAGGTTAGACAGAAATTTCAGTTCTAGATTGTAAAAACATAAATAAATCAGAGCTGAAATACAATCTGAGCAAAAGAGAGATTCTGTGTAACTCTTTAAAGTGTTGGAGGGTTTAACAGAAAACTGTAAGTCCTTCAGCTGTGGGTGACACACTGGGTTATAGTAGACAGAGGTATCCATGTTTTCATCACATCACAGGTCTCTGAGATTAATGTGTTAAATTAAAAACCTTCAAACATAAACTGTGATTGATTAAAAACTGTAGAGATAGAACTAAAACACCCATGGTTCTAGGTAGACCTATCAAGCAGAACTTTGGGTCAAAAAAAAAAAGTTTTGTTGAACTTGACCAAAGCTGCAGCAGGAGTCAGCTAAAGAAAAACTTGGAGGGAACTTGTACAAAACCACGAAATGGTGTTTTTAGATTTTTGACAGAAGAAACTCTTTATTCTAGGTGGTGTTTCCAGTGGTTTACTGCAGTATTGTTTACTGGATGACGGCTCAGCCTCCAGACGCTGCACGATTCTTCCTCTTCCTGTCTCTGGGAGTCCTTACGTCCTTAGTGGCTCAGAGCCTGGGTTTGCTGATCGGAGCTGCCTCCACCTCACTGCAGGTCGGTTCCTTCCCTCACCTGCATAGAGTTGGATTGGTTTCCATGGCAATCTCACAATATTTGATCTTTGCAGGTGGCCACATTTGTGGGTCCGGTCACAGCGATCCCGGTGCTGCTATTCTCAGGGTTCTTTGTCAGCTTTGATACCATCCCCTGGTACCTGCAGTGGATGTCCTACATCTCCTATGTCAGGTGGGGGCAGCTGTCAATGCTTCAGGATCATGATCAATAAGTTGGCAGCAGGGGGCACTGTTGTCCAGCTGACTGACACAATTTGCTGCTGTTGTGCTTCAGGTATGGCTTTGAGGGTGCCATCCTGTCCATCTATGGTCTGGATCGAGCAGACCTTCACTGCGATGAAGAAGATACCTGCCACTTCCAGAAGTCTGAGGCCATTCTGAAGGAGCTCGACATGATGGATGCCAAACTCTACCTGGACTTCATCGTCCTCGCCATCTTCTTCTTCTCTCTGAGGATCATCGCCTACTTCGTCCTGCGGTACAAGATACGGTCTGAGAGGTAGACCAGCACTAGCACAGGACTAAACCAGTCAGTCTGCATTTGGACTCTGATGAGGAGATGCTGTGTGTCTGAAGGTCTGGTTCAGGTCTTGCAGGGACTGGAGCTGGTCTCCTGGTTTCTGAATATTTTACTGTGCCACACTCTGAACTCAGCAGAATATAAGTCTCCCTGGGCTGGTTTCTGAAACAAGACTCTGATCAAGAGACGTTCAGGGCCAAGAGAACTTTCTTTGTGATGTTAGTGAATCATTGGTAGGTTTGTGAATGAAGACTTGTGGACTCACTGAGACTGTCCCACAAATAAACGTGTCAAACAAGTTTGGTTTCACTGTTTGCTTCCTCCAGTCTTTTTCCTGAAGCTGAATGCTCTTTGATTTGATCCTTGTGAAGCTTATTTTTTAAGTCTCGTGGCACCAAAGTAAGCACAGAGTGGGAAGACATGCAGCAAAAGTCTTAGTATGTAAACCCAATGTCAAAATAGAGGACTATGGCCTTCCTATATATCAGCAGCCTCTGCCATTATGCCACTGCTTACTGTGTAAAGCTTTCCATCCATCCATCCATCCATCCATCCATCCATCCATCCATCCATCCATCCATCCATCCATCCATCCTCTGCACAGCAATAAAAAAAAATCATGGTTCTTTTATTGAGTTTCTTTTTAATCGGAAATAAAAACTCGTAAAAAATGGTCAGTAAGAAACAAAACATATGCATCTCTGCAGATGCAGAACATGGAGGAGGAACCCTGTTTTTTTTTATTTTTTATTTTTTTTTGGTGTATTTGTTTTTTTAACCTATCATGAAAAAGTGCTGCATTTTTCCTGACCAGCAGGTGGAGATATTTACTTATAGAAGATAAAACTGCTGACATCAGGAGTGATTTTACACCCCAAAGAATTATGCTTCTCTTATTGAACTATGACCTGTAAACTGATAACCAATAATCAAAGATTTATCTGTGAGTTCTGGGGGAGATAAGCGAAGTCATGAGCTGCTTTCTTTGGATTTTTAGATTTTAGGAAAACAAAGGAAACAGTAAATGAACACATTAACTGACTGGTTATTTCTCCTCCTCAAGATACATATTAAAATTCATTCATCTGAGTTTGGTGACAGGAGGAGCAGCAGGAGCTGAGCAAAGTTTGTATTGTTTGGATGATTAAAGAGTTATGGAAGAATTTAAATCACTTTTGCCCCGAATTAATCAACTTTAAGGTTTTCCAGATCTCCTATCAATCACATTTCTTTTTCTCATAAATCCCACTTTTCCTCAAATTATTTCTAGAAAACACAGTTTACCCCAAAATATTTTTATGAGGTACACCATCATTTGGTGGAGATAATTACAGCACTTGATTTAACAAATGCAGCCATTATTAATTAGAAAGAGCACACTGAAACTCTGCATGTTTCTTACAGCAATTATATGGAAATTCATATATATGATGATATTGACTGCATTGTACAGAGGGTAAAATTGTCATACAAATACGATATTTATCTTACACCTGGCCCACTGTGTGCTGATCAGTTGGAACACTGGTACTGAAAGCTGATTGTTCTCAGGTTTAAATGTGTTTTTTGGTGGGAAAGATGTACAAGTTTAATTATACAATGCGGGTATTAAAAAAATACTTCTTTTTAGTGGTACACTTAAGATTAATTTGGAAAAAAGTGGAACAAAGTGGACTTAATGGAAGATGACCAAGAAGGACACCATCATTATAAACTAATCATAGAAAGGCCAGACTGGAATTTGCCAAACAAGATGGTGACAGCCACAATGATTCTAACAAATGAGAGAACGCTGGACTTTTACTCAAAGCACATCAACTCTATGTCCATAGAGGGGAAAATGAAGCATATCAAGTAAAGAACACTGTCCATACATACAAATGCTTTAATACTTTCTTTTTTGATGCATTTTTTATGATAATGGTCTTAACTTAAAGTTAAAAACATAGTCTATTTTCATAAATATATTTACTGATACATTTATCAGAACTATTACAATGTGCAATGTGGTAAATGCTTTGTTTGGTTTCATTTCTTTTAAAGGTTTTTCACCTGCTTAATTAAATGATTATCTGTAAACAACACAAGAAGAAAAATAAAAAAGGAAAAGATGAAACAACAGTTTGGTCATTGAGTGGAACCCAGTTTAATGTTCAGCTTAATACACGCCTTCAAGTGTGGGAATAGCACAGCAAAGATTCAATCACTTGACAAACATGGAGCAAGCTCTGTTATGCTCTGGGGCTTCTTTGCTTCATCTGGCACAGGGTGTCCATCTCTACAGGTTCCAATGAAATTTCAAGAATATCAGGGGATCATAAAGAGAATGTGTTAGAACTGTGTTAGAAAGCTTGGTCAACATGACAATGACCCAAAATACAGCTAAAAACACAGAGAATGGCTGAGAAGAAAACATTGGACTATTCTATTCGGCTTGTAAGAATAAAATCTAAATCCTATTGAGCATCTTTGGAAGAAGCTGAAAAATACTTTCTGGAAAAGGCCCCCTTCAAACCTGAAACAAGTGGAGCAGTTTTCTCATAAGGAGTTGAACAAAATACTTGAATGGAGGAGCAGATTTATCATTGACAGTCATAGGAATCATTTGGTTGCAGTGATTGCCTCTAAAGGTTGTGGAACAATATGTTTAAGCCAAAGGTACTATTAGTTTTGTCCAGGCATATTTAAGGAGTAAATATTTTTTTCCTTTTAAATCACTCTGCTGAAGGATTTTTTTAAAGTAAATCCTAAATTTATTTTCTTCATTTTCATAGAATTTACTTTTGTCATATTTAAGCTATTTCTGTGACCATTGTGGATTTTTCTTTTATTTAAGTACCACAATTTTTTTATGTGTGTACTTCTAAATGCCGTTTTTTTGGGTCTTTTTCTTTAGAAGTCCTCCAGGGCTTCAGCCCCACAGGCCCAGGTGGCAGGTTCAGCCGAGTACCACTGTACCTGGAGTTAACCTAAACACCTTCTTACAGTGTACCTGTGTGTACAGGCCTGTATAAGCAGTGTAAAAAACCAGAAGCTAACTTGACAATACATATTTACTTGAATTTGATGCTACCTCTCTTAGAAAGGGTTTAGTGTTGGCCACTACTAAAACAAACCTCTGTCTTCCAACCCCTTTTCTCATGTTTTCAATGTTTAATCATTCACATCACACATTTACAGCTAGCTTGTGACAATTACCTGCACACTATATCAAATACTGCTTTTTTGTCTAAAACTATTTGTTAAAACACTCTCCTCAAGTTTAAAGGGGGTTACTTCACTATTGGCATATCCGGGAATGTGAAGTAACCCTGGAAATTTGCAGCCCTGCCCTGGGATACTACACTTTGCGACTGGCTCCTCCGACATTTACGGACTCACAATAAATTATAATGGAAGATGAAAATAAATAGTTATTTACTTTCTTATAAAAGTTAATAAAAAACTGTACATGTTTCTGATGAAGACAATGGAGATAACTCCTCATTCCACCACTCTGTTGCAAAACTATAATGACTGTGTTCAGTGTCAGTGCAGGTGCCAGGGTACAATAACAACTCATGAGACCGGGAAAGAATAATCATGTGTAAAATGAGGTGGAAATCAGAGGGAACAATTCCTTAAAGGAATAGTACTCCCAAAACATGATTAGCCTTCATTTTCTACTCACCCCCATGCTGAACAACACCCTGGAGTACTTTTTTGATATCTCAAATGCATCTGGAGATCTGGGAGGCTTCTTGCTGTCTGCTGACATTCAAATAATGGAGGTCTAAGGTGACCGAGACAGAAAGGTCCATAAAAGTTCACAAAAAACGAGTCAATATTCCTCCATACTGGTCGTCCAATGTATTCCAAGTGTCCTGAGTGGGTAGCATCCAGAATTTACTCGAAACGAAGTCATTTAGAATGTTTTTAGAGCATAAACAGTAGTGTATAGGATTTCCTGAAAGCGCGCACATGCGCGATCACGACGCTACGGAAGCCGGCAGACCAAACCAGATGAAAGTGCGCATTCAGCGTCTGCTCTGCCGATAATGCAAGCGTAGAAGAAGAAATGTGCTGTTTACCTGTGCAAAGAAAGAAACAACGAAAGAAAAATGTCTGAGGACTTCAGTGTTGAGGAAGAGCAGGAGTTCTTTGCCGAGCTGAATGCGCTGGTTTGGTCTGCCGGCTTCCGTAGCGTCGTGATCGCGCATGTGCGCGCTTTCAGGAAATCCTATACACTACTGTTTATGCTCTAAAAACATTCTAAATGACTTCGTTTCGAGTAAATTCTGGATGCTACCCACTCAGGAAACTTGGAATACATTGGACGAGCAGTATGGAGGTATATTGAAACGTTTTTTGTGGACTTTTATGGACCTTTCTGCCTCGGGCGCTGGGCACCTCCATTATTTGAATGTCAGCAGACAGCAAGAAGCCTCCCAGATCTCCAGATGCATTTGAGATATCAAAAAAGTACTCCAGAGTGTTGTTCAGCATGGGGGTGAGTAGAAAATGAAGGCTAATCATGTTTTGGGTGTACTATTCCTTTAAATAACTTGATTGGAACTTGTTCTAAAGCCCCTGTCACACCTTAACCATTTAAACCAGCATATGCCTGATGTATGAAAACTCTGGCAAAAACGCTGGCATACATTGGATAAGTTATAGGTTTTATACGTTTAGGTAGAAATGTTTTTTGCATTTAGGTTACGTATAGGTTTTATACGTTTTATATAAGTTATGAGCATGCTGAAGCACGCTGAAACACGCTGGCACACGTCGACATTAGGCAAGTATGACGAGAAATTTAGCTCATGCTCAAAATTTCTTGATGTATGCCAGTGTATGCCATACGTGGGCAATAAGTTACAGGTAAGTTATTTGATCGTTGTCAGACTTTAATTAAGTGTAAGTTACTCATAAGTCGTGGCGTGTAGCTTATCCAAACACTATGACTAACTTTTACATAACTTATCAAGAACTTATTTCAACGCATATCAATGTATTTGAAGTCTTCCATACGACCGTGGAACGTGTTTTTAACTTCCAGTTACTGTATAATGGTATAAAAGGGGGTTCACAGGAGGAAACTGTCAGTACTCCGCCAGACTTCATCCCCATCATAGGGTGCATGTGAGTCTGATGGATTCTCCCTGTGTTCACGGCCAACAAACTTCCTAGCAGACATTATGCTGAATGTGCTGTGACTGCAAACCTTATTTTTACTAATACCGCAGTCAAAGAAATCTTTTTATGCAGTTCAGGGGCCTCCAGGTGCACCGCTGCCCCCCTCAGGACACTGGCTTGAGA